CTTTTCTTTTCTTTTCTTTTCTTTTCTTTTCTTTTCTTTTCTTTTCTGTCTTAATGAAGTTAGCTTGGTTTTTATGCTGTTTCACAATGACTAGGATTGAACCCATGTCATTGCCTCCACTGCTGAGTGATATTCCCATCCTCTAATTTAAACAAGGTAATCTAACTTCATCCAGCCTTTCACTCCACCATCCTCACTCCACACAGATCTTTTACATCCATTGCTGGCTTTGATGCCAGAGATGTGTCTGGGGTGAGAGAGCTGATGATGAAAATGATTGTTTCCTCTAGATGGTCTCTGTGTAGGTTATTGTCTTGTTATTTCATGTCATGAGGGTGTGTTCAGGCTTTTGCTCTGGGCCTCAATTAGAACTTGAGTGTATAGGAAATCTTTTTTTTTTTTTAATTTTTTTGACATGGTTATCACACAGGATGATCTCAAATTCACAAACTTCTTGCTTCAGTCTCCCAGTGCTGTTTTTTTTATAAGTGTGTGCCACCATGCCCAACTTGTAGGACTCTTTCAAAGATACCTGTTTAAGCAGGACAATCCAGCCGTTGAAGCTGCATATCCAGAGATGCCTGAGGAATGGCATCTTTGGATTATATACACATTTTTAATTTCCATGTCTGTTTTTCTCTAGTTTCTTCTTGGACCAAGATGACTGATGGAAACCTTTCCACCTCTATGAATGGTATAGCATTGATGGGCATTCTAGATGGTCGGCCAGGAGACTCCCTTCAGGAACTGCAACACCTGAATATCAAGGCTCCCAAATCCCTTTCAGTACCTGACTATGGACCCACACTAAAACTTGGTGCTTTGGAAGATCGACACAGCCTTCAGTCAGTGGACTCGGGCATTCCTACCCTGGAGATTGGCAACCCAGAGCCTGTTCCCTGCAGTGTGGTCCATGCGAAGAGAAAGCAGTCTGAGTCAGAGATCATCCCTGAGCGGGCCTTCCAAAGCGCATGCCCCCTGCCATCCTGTGCACCCTCGGCCCCCACCTGCAGTGAGCGGGAGCAAGTTGTGCGGAAGTCTTCCACTTTTCCCAGGACAGGCTATGACTCAGTGAAACTCTACAGCCCCACCTCTGAAGCCTTGAGCCGAAGTGACAATGTCTCTGTCTGCAGTGTGTCTAGTCTTGGCACAGAACTGTCAACTACACTGTCGGTCAGCAATGAGGACATCTTGGACCTCATGGTCACGAGCAGTTCCAGCGCCATTGTGACCCTGGAGAATGATGATGACCCACAGTTTACTGATGTCACCTTGAGCTCCATCAAGGAAACCAGTGACTTACACCAGCAGGATTTTGTTACTGAGATTGAGGAGGGGAGGAAATCGAAACTATTGCAACCACTCAGTCACTTCTTTACAAGGTAACACCTTTGGTATTTGAAACAAAGATAGGGCAATAAATATAGACCTGCTGCCTTGTGCTTCCTTGTCTGTGTCTCCTGTGCATTGTTATTTTTATTACTATTCTTATTCTTATTTGTTTTTTTGAGACAGGGTTTCTCCTTTTCTTTCTTTTTCTTTTCTTCTTTTTTGAGACAGGGTTTCTCTACATAGTCCTGGCTGTCCTAGAACCAACTCTGTAGACCATGATGGCCTTGAACTCACAGAGATCCACCTGCCTCTGCAGCCCTGAGTGCTGAGATTAAAGGCGTGCACCACAATGCCCAGCTCCCTATGCATTATTAATAAGAGCTGTGTCCTATAGACAATTGTGCCTTTGCCCTGTGCCTCAGAGTGCTTTGTGGTAGTGTGTGGCCAGGTCTGCTGATGACTCAGCTGTTTGGCTTCTCACTTCCATTTCCTGCTTCTCTGTCATTGGCTCACGTGAATAGTCTTTGTAAGTTTCTTGGCCTCCTGCCTTTTGTGAGTGGGGTCACCCACTGGTGGTTATACCTTTACTTTGTCATTCACTAATTACTTCTGTTTCTTGGATCAGGCAAAAGGATGCTGTTGAGATTGGTACCAGCATTAGCAACTCTTTCTCTAACACTGCTCCTAGGGGCCAACACTGGGACTGGCATTTCCAAATGCTGCAGTCATGCTGCCAGTGTACCTGTCTGGGCCTTTTCATGTTTACTGGTCCTGGCTCTGATTTTGAGGCATGTGCCATGGTTGCCTTGCAGTCACACAATTCTTATTGTGTTTCTACTGCCACGTGTACCTTTTCTGTGTGCCTTAACAAGCCTATTAGACTTCCTGTGTGTCCTAGAGCCCCATAAGGAGAGTTGCTTTCATTTCTTCCTCTTGTTTGTGTTTTATGCTTTTGTTTGGCAAGAGTCTGTCTAAGGCTTTTTTTCTAGGCAGGTCAAATGGGAGTCATAGGGCGATAGACATGATTTTAGGTCACGATGGAGAGTGAGCTTATAATCTGGGGTTGGGCTACTCCTACCAGTCAGTCACAGAAACTTGGGTGCTATGCAAAAGGGTGTGGAGTTGTGGATTGTATATTCAGGATTATAATCTGCCTCGTGTTTATTCTCTGGACACATCTGGGCTATGAACTTGGCAGATGGTAACACGTGGCGCATGTTTCTAGTAAGTCAGTGTTGGATTTTACCATACTTGTTTGATGTGCTGCCCAGAGTCAGCTAGAGACATCTGGGTCTGGGGACATGTAGTAACTTATGGTTCTCTGGTTCCTTCATCAGGCAGATGTGGAGTGTCACCAGTGAGCCTAAGGCCAGTCCTGAGTGAGATGGTCTTCACATGGCCTGCACTCTTCTGGGGACCCCTTTGTTCTTGATGTGCCAGCTGGTGGGTCCCCTTCACCTCCAGTGAGGTCACAGAACTTGTTATTTAGTGATTGCCTCCTGGGGTCCTGTGTGTCAGAGGACTTCTGAGGCCTTCATGGAGCTCTCATCCATGTAGCTGGCTGGTCTCTGTTACTTGGACCAGTGTTTGCAGTTTTCCATGTTGATGACTACGAGAGTGCCTTATGTGTGACTCCTCAGATCAGTCTCAGAGGGAGAGAGTCTCCTAGGAGACAGAGATTCTTAGCAAAGCTGGGAACTCTTTTTTGAAACAGACGCACCTAGGAAGTAGCATAGTGGGAACAACTTGGTTTACAGATCTATCCTAGCTCTGTGACCTTGAACATCACTTCCCTTCACCGAGGTTTCCAAATCCCTAGCCGAGAAGTACAGAGAAGGGTACTGGGTGCGTGGTGTGCCATTGCCTCTGCTTCACTCGCCTCTGTTGTCCCCTCAACTGGGTGTTTGATCCTGTCCCCAGAACTGGAGTGAAAAGCCCCTCTTGTGGTTGTGGAACTAGGTGGGTTAATACGTTCAAGGTTTAGTGCAGATCCTGACACACGGATAATGTCCTCGTTGGGGTTACTATTGCTGTGATAAAACACCATGAACAAAAGCAACTTGGGGAGGAGAGGGTTTATTTAGCTTACATTACCATAGCACTGTTCATTAGGAAATCAGGACAGGAACTCAAAAACAGGGCAGGAACCTGAAAGTAGGAGCAGATGCAGACAGAGGCCATAGAGGGGTGTTGTTTACTGGCTTGTTCAGCATGCTTTCTTATAGAACCCAGGACCACCAGCCCAGGGATAGTACCCTCCTTCACCAATCACTAATTAAGAAAATGCCTTACAGCTGTATATTATGGAGGAATTTTCTTAATTGAGGTTTCTTCCTCTCAAATGACTTTAGCATGTGTCAAGCTGACATAAAAACAGCACACATGACTTTACTGTATCATCTGTTTGGGATGATCATGGCTATACCCTGATCTATTACAACCTTTTTCTTATGGGGAAATGGTACACTTGAGTTGTCTGTTGAAGCTTCTTTCCCCTTTGGAGGAAATACTGTGCATTTTACAATTTCTAGACCCTCTTATTTCTTGCTTTCTGCCTCTTTATCTTGGTTGGCAGCTCTGACACTGTTATAGGGAGCCACACTGAAGCAGGGAGAATATAAAAACAAATGAGTCAAAGTGATATGCAGTGCACTGAGTCTAGTGGTGCCCCTCCCACTTCATAGTCTCAAAGTTTTAGAGAAGAGTTCCAACCCAGAGTTACTTTAAGGGCCAGGGTGTGGGGCACACACAGAACATTTCACAGGCAATTAAGTATAGTCATAGAGAATGTTCAGGAATTTAGCCCAGAGCCTAGCCCAGGTGCTCTGAAGACCTCGACTATAACTGTGTGTGTACAGGGTAGACCAGGGCTAGAACTGGTCCTGTGGGGGTCCCAGGCCAGTCCATACCATCTTCTTCCTTGTCCTCACTCTCCTGCGTTCTATTCTCTACAACCTCAAGTTTCTTATCTCTGAGCTGTAGAAAGTTGTATAGGTGGTTTGTGGGAAGCTGATCTAGAAGAATATGGATCCAGTTAGAGGAAACAGTGGAGGTCTGAGAGCTTCTGAACCTGACTTCTTGACAAAGGGCCTACATGAGACAGGGAAACGTAGAGCAATAATGTGGCTGCTGGACCTAACTCTTGTTCCGTGGAAGCTGTAGGCATAGCTGCTATTTCTTCTTCCTTTACATGCTATCAAGGCTCAGGTGAGCTAGGTTTATTATCATCTCTCATCCTTAATAACTGTGTGGCCTTGTATGGCTTTAATGGGGGAAAATGGCCCAGCTAAGACCAAAGAGCTAAGGCATCTAGCTTCCTGGGATTATTTAAGAGTAACTTTCTCTGGTTTGAACAGAATATATTCTGTTCCTTAATGCTCTTGTGAGCTTTTGGCCACATACTGTACATTCCTCAGTTGAACCCACTGTCCGGTAACTTAGAGCAGGGGTTTCTGCTTCAGGCATTATTAATGTTTGAGGTGGATACTTCTTTGGGTTGCTGTCCTGTGTGTTGCAACATTCCTGACCTCTGCCCACTAGATTGGTACTAGATGGTGCCAGTATCTAATGGCATCATCGCCCAACTACAAAGACCAAAATGTCTCTAGACATTGCCATATGTTCTGGGATGGAGGTGGATGAAGCCTTTCAGATGCACTGGGCTAACAGGTTACAACTGTTGGTATTGATTAGCTTTCTCAAGGGTCATTTGCTAGTGTAATTTGAACAGCACCCTCATCTTACATGGAAGAGAGCCGTTTTAAGGGAGCCTCTGAATGCAGTGTAGTAGAACCCAGAGAGCAGTGGGTGAGGAATTCAGTAACATGCTTGTGGTGTGGCTGTTTTCCTCAGGAGATGGGGTTGGTTTCCATGAAGCTAAAGGTTTACTCTGCTAATCCAAATGGGTTTGGGAAGTAATAATTAGCTTTTCTTGCTTATGTCTGTCATGTGGCCTTTTATTAAGCTCTCAGAGGAGGTGATTAGAGAGTCCTTTGTTAAAGAGGTGTTAAATGTCCATTTGAAGACAAAGCTGACCTTGCTAAGGAAAGGTATAGGGGTAGAGACGGCCTTTGGGGATGCACTTGTGTGTGCTTAAAGGTCTGGAATGATGGATTTTTCTAGTCTGCTTCTTGACCCGGCAGAGAGAGCCCTTCAGGGGCACAGTTTATGTCTGGTTAGCTCTGCTTCTGTTTGTATTTCAAAGACAGAGTGGGAGGACCAGGGTGCTTTGAGAACCAGGGCTGGGGAGCCCCCCCCACCTCTGCCATTTTGTGCTGTGTGACCCTGAGAAAGTCATTTAACCTCTGCAGCTCTAGTGTGTACTTGGGTGACCAGGGTCTCATTTCTTCTCTAGTAAAGAGCTAATACAGGAGGGATAGAGCCATAATTCAGTATTAGAGCATTTGCCTAATGTGGTGTGAGGTCCTGGGTTCCATTCCTAGCACTGCAAAACAAAAACTACTCAAGTAAAGAGCTAATAATGCATGTGTTAAATGAGGAAATAGAAGTTAACTCTCAAAGCAGAAAACATGCTCAGTACATATGCATTTTCTGGCTTGTGGGGTTTCAAATGAGATTTCAGTGTTGTTTTTAAAAACTCTTGTGTGTAAAGATGTTTGCAACATGGTTTAAAAATGAATCCTCGGGAGGGTTGATATGGGGAGAGGGACTTTCCTCTTTTCTGGGGGGAAAGGGGAAGGAAGAAGGATGAGAAGGAGGGGATTGGGAGGAGAGAAGGGAGGCCCCCCCATGTAAAGTAAATAAACTGAAGTTAAAAAAAAACAACAACAAAAAAAGTGAATCTTCAGATAGATACTTTGATACGATATGAATGTGTTTATCCACAGTTTTAAGTCTTATGCAGAGCTAGGCTTTTGGGACTTGACTCGTTGGCTGATGATCATAGAGTATAAGGAGGAAATTTAGGGACAGGAGGCAGCTTATGAAGAGGAGGTGTGTTCATTCAGCAGGAGGTGGGTGGTGTGCCTGGCGCTGTTCTTCGCTTCGCGTGGCTGCCATTTTCAGGGTGCACAGTAGTGGGGAGTAGCAT